TCTAAAAAAATCATCAAATTTACTTAAAATGTCGCTGTAACCATATCGTTCCAAACCGGCCCTGCATACATCTATTTATTTTATATTCATTTTAGCCCAATGCTAATTATACCCTATTAATAATAAATAATTTCCACCCTAATTTACCTGTAAATTAATCATCAATTTCCCTATAAATGCCCTTATAAATTTCTAGATTGCTTAGGATTTCAATATTGCCCGGTAAAACATCGGAATGATTAATAATTTCTGTCTCTTCTAACGCCTTAATTATTTTCAAACAGTCCCTGAGCAATACAGAAATGGAATCGTAAATTCTCATCTCGGAAATTTAGGGATTTTAACGACAAAGGGTTTACGATGCAACGGCCTCATCAGTTCTAATTAACATTCCGGTTCATCACTTCCGAAGAAAAAAAGCTTTTTAAACGGAAAGTTCTCGGCGATTCGTGAAGTTGCGAGTTAAAAAATAAGCTCTAATTTCGATTCGCCATATAACTACTAGCGGTAAACTAAACTTTAATGCTTTAATTGATCCAATTTAAACCAAATGAAGTTGTTTCTACTTGGAAATTCTGCGTTGTCTCGACGGATTTCGCGCAACTTTCGGGGATGAAGCTTCAGAAATTGTCAAAACGGTTGCTGTAGATTTCTCTAAAAGTTTTGAAGTAAATAAAAAATGAGTTGATTTAATTTTGTGAAGGTATTTCGTCAGGTTTACACTCAGTTTTAGTGCCGTATTTATTACGAACGGAATAATTTAATTCCGCTTTTCTACCATTATATTATTCTCTATTAATTTCCATAATCAACTCGGATTTTATTAAATATTTTAGCATAAAATAGTCATTATGCTTCTGGTCTTGTAAATACGCTTTTCCGTAGAAATATTATCATTATTTTTACAATAACTGCAGTTCTTTGCGATAAAAATTACAATAAACATTTATATAAAATAATCCTGCAATGTAGAAGGTATATTATTTGCTTTTTATTCCACATTCCTATTTTATATTAAAACTGAGACGTCATTCGGGAATGTTCCAGGAGACATCTCGAAGTAAGCGGGACAAAATCTAAAGTTTTATTACAAAAAGCGTTTAACACACGCGGTGCTTTATAGCTATATAAAATACTATGTAATAGAAAAATGTAAGGAATAAAGTGTTCGAAGTTACTCAACTCCTTCAGGATTATTGCCTTCAAGCCTCATTTACAAACTTCTGATCCTATTATTAGTCCTTATATTGGATGCTTAAGGTTGAGGATATCTTGTAAAGAGGAATAGTAATGATGAAATGGTAATAGAAATTCGTCCTTCAATCCTGAGTCCTTCAATCGAAACTAGCTCTATTCACAAATCGGGATAGAGATAGCGTGAAATAATTAAACCAATAAAATTTAACTTACCTCTCAACAAACAAACCAAAAAACATAAAACAACGTTTCTACCGCAAAAATTCATCATCAATTCTCAGAGTTCCAGAAAACCGCCATGGAAAACTTGGTCATTTGCGAGGGGACGCGCGACAAAGATTATCATCCCCGGCATATTCGCGATCCGGACTTTCCCTGTCGCATTCGAGAAACGGGCCAACGGTCTTTTCGCGTGAAATTCGAAGAGTCCGCGCCGCTCCGGAGGACCGTGGAACTGGATGGATCTGGATGAATCTGGCGACGGCGTTTCGGATCCCTCTGGCATCCAAAATGACGCATGACAACGAGCGGATAACGCGATGGAAACTTTGGGGTATTTGCGGATTTTTGTTTTTGTTTCGATTATAGCGGGATGAAATGCGAATCCGGCGTCGGGAGGATTTTGAATTAATGCAATTTGTGTTTCGAACTTGTTAGTTTGCAAATCTGTCCACATAAAAATATGTGTACTGGGAATATTCAAGCGTATCAACAGATGGATAATCTGTAATAAGGGATAAATATAGAATCTATACGTCATCTATACTATGAATCATAACTATGGATCATATGAATCATCAGTTCATAACGATCTTAGAACTATTGAAAACTGTCAAGGATTATTTAGAATCACTTTAGAACTGATCAGTGCCAGTTGAAGCAGTTAAAAACGATCTTGGAACTATTGAGAACTGTCATGGACCATTTCGAATCTGACCAGTTTCAGTTGAAACAGTTCAGAAGGATCTTAGAACTATTTAAAACTGTCAAGAATCATTTAGAATCACTTTAGAAATGATCAGTACCAGTTGAAACAGTTAAAAACGATCATGGAACTATTGCGAACTGTCAAGGATTATTTAGAACCTGACTTTAGAACTCACCAGTACCTGTGAAAACAGTCCAGAAGGATCTTAGAACTATTTAAACGGCCAAGAATCATATAGAATCATTTTAGAACTGACCAGTACTAGTTGAAATAATCCGAACGATCTTAGAACTATTTAACATTGCCAAGAATCATTAAGAATAGTTTTAGAAGTGGCCAGTACCAGTTAAAGCAATTCAGAACGATCTAAGAATTATTTGGAAGTGTTAAGAACCATTACGGGTTACTTCAGAACTGACCAGTACCAGTTGACATAATCCAGAACGATCTCCATTATTCTTAGAACTATCTAAATTTGTCCAAAAATCATTTAGAATAAATTTAGAATAAATTAGAATTTATTGCATTTTTTCTAAATAAAACACGACAATTAATATAATTCTTTAAAAATTATGAACTACTATCCCATAATAAAATTTTATTCATTTTAATCATTACCTCTACTGGCACGGAGTGACAGCGCTTCCTACGAAATATCCAAACTCCTTGTTAGTAGTGAGCTTAGTCCTTGCAAAGGACCAAAAGAAAAGAAACGAACATCGAAGCTTACGGGTAAATTTGTTTTCTTACTACGCATATAAATGGTATGATTTTTGCATTATTAAACACAGCCGGATATTTCGGTGCCTTCAAGAATTTTCATATAATAAAAAATTTATGGAAAAAGATTCGCGTCGCGAGTGGAAAAGAACTGGCGTAATGAAGAGGGGTTTATAAAGAAGTCCAAAAAAAGCGAATCAGTATATTGAAATGTGGTTTTTATTGTATACTAATGTTTCATGTATACTGAAAAATCTTGTTATGTTCCTCAAAAAACTTTCCATTTTTCATATTTACAAAGGTACATTTAGGCATAAAATAGGGTCCTTCTTTTAAGTATGTATTTCAATATGATAATACCCTAAATTTTACCTGTAATTTCCATAAAATCGAAAATTTGATTGAATTTATTCAAAATATAATGAGATTTGCTAACGAATTCAGTCTTAAAAAAGTCTTTTGGAACTTGGTAAAAATGCTAATTTTATTTTTCCCACAAATATTTTTAAACTTCTAGCGCCATCTATCCGTAATAAAACACACTAAAACTTTTCTCAATAAAGTTTCCTATGTTTCAAACACATATTTGCGCCACATTGTTGGTTGCATACATAGAAGGGGTTTAGCAATCTTAATAATTTTTAAAAATTGAACGAATCCTTTTCGATTTATATTATGGAAGAGATCACTTTAAGAATTAAACTGCTGTGAAATATTTTCCTCCAGTTACTTTTAAAGTCAGCATTTTCCTATCACAACAAATAGTTGTCCCTTACGACTCCTTCATATCGCAAAACTAGGATTAATTACTAGTAAATAATTTTTATTATCCTTTTATCCATTCTTTATCCATTTTCGGCTCAAAAACCTTTGATTCGCTAACTTGGAGAAACTTCTTGATCTCCAAACAGCCATTAATATATTCATCAGTGTAACATGAAACCGGTATCTCGGCGTAGGCAAAAAATAAAAAAAAATATTTTCACCACCTTATCCTTAATTCTTGTCCATTTATTACACAAGAATTAGACTCCCTAATGCTTTAATTCGTTAACTAACGCATTAATTTTTCAACTGAACTGCATACTAGCTTTAAAAAAAGCCTAAATAAAATCGCTGGTAGGGCTTCCATCCGGCCAAAGCCGGTCTTGAAAAGGATATAAAGGACTCGTTTGAGTACAGAGCGAGGAGAGTCGCGAGAGGACGCGACATAACGGAAATGAAAAGGACGAGGAAGTCCCGATGTAGCCCAGACGAGACGGTCCATAGACCTTGCCTAACTCGAATTCGAGTGCGATTTCAAAGGAGTTCATTGATCGCTCACGAGGAGCAATTTCAATGAGGATGATTTTTTATTGTACATAGGATTATTCTGGTTGTTGTTTTTTTTTTATTTTGATAAGTCGAGACTATAACTTGTATAGGTAGCTATAAAGGTATAGGGAAATTTCCTGCGTTTTGTTCGATTGTGAGCGAAGACGAAATCTAATCTACATCTAGATGAAAGTGTTAGAAATACGTGTAATCGATATTTTTCGTAGAAAATATCGATGACGGATTTTCCGATCGATTTATCACGGAATGTTTTAACTTCCAAATTACGGGTTAACCCTTTAATCGCTCAGTCGGTTTCGATTTGTGTCATTTTATTAACAGTAACTTTAGTAAGTACTATAATTGTTTTGTGAGATTGCTGGTTGAACGTACAATGAAAAGGGAAAACACAATTTACCTGTCTTGATGAATAGCTGAATATATTTAGTAAATACAGCGACCTTTTGGAATCCATTTCTATTTCCTTTACCCTTTCAAACATCTGCTACTTTTACTTTCATCCATCATTTCCCTTTTATTTATGCTTCAAAATTTATGCATTCGCTAAGATTCCTCGATATTAACAGAAAACTTTTATATTTTCTATTAACTCTTTAAAATAACCAGACTTTAAAAGAGATCATACTCATTACACATGAGTCACATAAGAGAATTTTTGTGCTTCTAAATGAGCCGTGTTAAGACAAATTAATCGTTTTAATTGCTCGTAATTAAGCTAATACCTTCAAATGAAGTATTAATATTATCTAGCATAGCCGGCTTTGTTCTTGTAACGAACATTCACGCATTATCATATCGACACGTGTTTGAAGAGGCAGGTGTTTCCCCGGGCACGCGCCAGAAGACTCTAGAACACCTTGTCTATTTTCGAATTTATTGGTCGTTTTTTCGGTCGCATCGAAATAAAAAACGGTGTACGAGAAAAAATATATTTATCAGTACATGGATTTTGCAATATGCATTATATAAAAAATATCTATTTACAACGTATCTTGATTAAGGCGAGTCAAAATACTTAAAAAACTATCAACTTAACAACATTATCGAGTACGATGTTTAGAAATTAAAGAGAGCAAATTTTCCGATAAAGTACCCATCAAACATGCTAGGAAAAACATTTTGAACTTTTATTGCGAACATAACTAAAATAGGACTTATAGACTATTTTATAAACAATATATGTACATTTTTATACAGTATCAGAAATCGTTGCAAACACTGCAAGCAAAACGCGTACTGTACATAAAAAAACAATGACTAGAAAAACATTTTATAAACTCTCGAGATTCTTCAATACCTAGTGTAAAAAATATATCACTCGCTAGAATGAAGGCACTGGGTTTCTTGGTTCGTAACGATTATATTCAGTAATTTCTGTTTTGATTAGATCGTTCACTGGCCGTTCTCGTTCTGTAACAAAACAAAAATACACATTATTATCGATTGGGATTCGGGACATTTGAAAGGGAACCTGCGGATTCGCGCTCGTTTTTTTTTTTCAATAAAATATCTCAGACGGTATTGTTCGTATGTAAGGTCTCGTTTCTTAAAGAAACTGGTATGTATTAAGACCCCTGTCAAGGCGCTATGAAAAGATCCAAGACATAAAAACGGTATTTTTACCTTAGGGTAGGAAATGGGCATGCTAAATCGAAGGGGAACACTTTTATAATTCAGGTAGATATAGATTTAAAACAGGTATAAAACATACGTGTCGTATAGGGAATACGATATATCAAGATTACATATTGGTAATTTTCGCTATAAATATTTTTTATGTAAATAATATTATCTATTTAGGAAATCGACTGTCAATATTAATGATATCTACATAACTCTTTTTGAATTAATAATAGATTTTCTTAGGTAACTATAGTTGAAAAAAAAAATCAGAATTCTTACCTTAGATTTTTTTAATATTATTCCTGCTGCCAGGAGAAAATCGCGTCCAGCAGTTCCTCGTCTTCAGGACTCTTAGGATCGTAATTTTCGTAATTTTCAGTAGGATGGTACAAGGTGGTAGAATAACTTTGCGTCGTGGAAAAAGATCCCTCGGAACTGTGTGAAGGCGTGGGCGAAGCTGAAGCTTCCGAGCAAGCAGGAGTCGACAGTAACACAGGATACGAAGAGTACAACTGATTCGAATCCTGATAATACCTATTCTCGTTAATGGAAGAAGGATTCATTTCACCTTCGTGCTCGTCTATCATCTGCTGCAACGATCTGATGTATTCCACTGCTAATCTTAAAGTTTCCACTTTGCTAAGTTTCTTGGAAGCTCCTCTACCTTGCGTACCTTGCGTGCTGGACAAAGCTTGTGTAACACTTGGAGGAATGTGCGAGCGAAGGGTGGCGAAACCGTTGTTAACTTGCTTCACTCGGTTCCTTTCTCTTGCATTTCTTCTGGCAACAGAAGCTGGTTGTTGCGGCGGTGCACCGTAGGGCACGAACTGGATTTTCCTCTTGCATCTCAGATCGTTGTTGGTAACCAGCACCGATGAGCGTTCCGGCGCCGGAGCCAAAGGTCTCTTATTACCAACAGCCGATTTAGCTTGTTGGGTAACAATCACACAATTCCCCTGCGGTGCCGAATGCTGTATAACGTTGTACATTTTATTCTGATGGCCTAAGGTCATCGTAAGCGCCATGGGGTTCTCGAGGAAACTCACTAAAGAACTAGAATGAAAACGCGCGTGTGTCGGAATGGCCCGGCTCGTAATTCACGTGGTGATCAACCTCTCGAGCACGTCGAAACGGAATGTCTTCGGCCGGTGCGTAGCCTACGGTTTTCTACCTAACGAAAGGGCGCCCCCTCTTCGGGCCGCGAATGCGCGCGCTCCTCGGGGGTTGTACGCGTGCCACGGGACGTGGGACGCATGGCAAAGGTTGCCGAGGACATGGGGACCACGGGTTGCCGCTTTTATTCGCGGCTCGGAAGCTGTGCGGGCTGGCAACGAGAAGGCGATTTGAGGACAGCTGCACATATATGTACGCTTGGTGCGAGTTCGCGGCGCTTTGGCTTTACTGGCCCGCTTTTATAGGGATTTGTTTTTTATTATACGTACTATGAGTTGGTGTTATAATTATTGTATATACAGGGTCGTGCCGATGCTGTATGTGGATATAGGGATACTATAAGAAGGGGGGAGAGGGTGTATATGATTGTTGTAGTAAAACTGAACAAGTGTACTTGCAAGTGAATTCGAATTGTTCGGAAACACTTTTTGAATTGCATACTCAGGATAGTTATATAATCATTTAGAACGGTGCAAAACTATTTAAAACTGTCCAGAATCATTTAGACATTTAGAACCATTTTAGAACTTGCTAGGATCATTTGAAACAGTTCAGAACGATCTTATAAGAGAACAGAATCTTTTAGAACTGTTCAAAATTATTTAAAATAGATTTAGGACTATTTGGAACAATTCAGGATAAACTGGAATAGTCCAGAAACATTTAGAATTTAGAACCTGATCAGGAATAGTTTCAATATTTTTAGAATTTTTAAATGACCATTTATTTAGAATTTTTCAACAGAAAAATCAATTAATGTAGTGAATTTTTTTTAAAAATCATTAAATTTAAATGTAAAATAATCTTAAAATCTACTAATTTAGTGATGTATTCGAATAAAATCATCAAATTTACATGTAAAATTGTTTAAAAACATCAGTAAAATCAGTAAAATATTCTTAAAAATCGTTAAATTTGCAATAAAATTTTGTAAAATGATTTGAAAAATAGACTAATTTAGTAAAATATTAAAAATCATCAAATTTGCTTGTAAAATTGCCTTAAATCGAATGAAAAAATTTAAATAATTCATAAAAATCGATAAATTTGCAATAAAATTTTGTAAAACTGTTTGAAAAATAATGTAAGTAGACAATTTACATGTAAAATTGTCTTAAATCATATGGTAATTCAACCAAATCAGTAAAATATTCTTAAAAACTCTCAAATTTGCAAATAAAATTTTGCAAAATCATTCGAAAAATAGACTAATTTTCTAGTAAAATATTCTCAAAAATCATCAAATTTACATGTATAATTGTCTTAAATCACATGAAAAAATAACTAAATCAGTAAAATATTCATAAAAATCGTCAAATTGGCAAGTAAAATTTTGCAAAATCATTTGAAAAATAGACTAATTTAGTCGATTCCAAACAAAATATTCCTAAAAATTGCCAAATTTACTAGTAAAATCCTGATGTAAACTAGTTACTTTTACATCAACATCATCTCTGGCCAGCTCTATAAATCTCTGTATCCTCAGTATAGCCCATATTTTACTAGCAAGTTTTTATTCACCTATTCATTTAGCAATATTTTAAAAGTTTTTATTTACCTATTTTAAAACATGGGTTTAGGCAAACAAAGTACCTACCATATACAGGACATTAATCAGTTAACAAATTGTTTTAATATAGAAAAAAATCCTACATAATAGTCCTGCCGGGGGTTGTTTTATCGAACCCACCTAGACCCAGTCCCTTGTAGCCGGCCGACTGCAAACGAAAATCTCGAATATATCGGATATCAGACGAGGTGGAGAGGGCGGCAGGTAGAAAATATCCCCTTTGCGCTAACGATAAGTGCGGTGGTTGTTCATTAAGGGGTCGGTAAAAAGGAGAAGGAATGTTAATGTTGTGGAGTTTCGAGGTTTATATAATTCGGAAAGGCATTAAAGACGGTCGTAAAAATTTTCAGAGTGTATTTACTGTATTTATTTGACGCCGGTGCGGTGAATCGATTTTATTTGTTTATTTTGGTTTTTTACGAACGTATTGATGAATTTTCCAAATTTTATTTTTACCTTTTTTAAAACAGCGCTTTTAATTAGAATCCAACATTGAGTAAGGCATTAATTGCAAGTACGAAACAACGTCGTTAAAAAGCGCTCAATGTAATTGAGATGAATTTATACCGTATCAATTTATTCCCTTTTGCACCTGGCAAGGCGAAGATTAGGTAAGCTCTTAGACAAACGCGCGACAACATTTTTAAATGAATATTCACGATACACCTTTTATTTCACAATCGCACTTACCCTAATCAAGCGACTTTATCGAAACGTCCATTCGCTCGGAAACGAGTCAATTAGTAAATTTGAAACTCGTAAGTTTTTATTAAATTATGGGAGCAATAATTTCGGATACAGCGGAATGCTGTGCCCACAGGAGTAATCTGCATAACACCGATGTAAATTTTTGACCTTGTTTTCATACATTTTACGTGTTTTCTTTCATGTAAAACTTGATAAAAAACTTGCTAAATGAATAAAAATCGCGTGTAAGCAACTACCGGGTCGATATACGTGTCGATGTGGACACTGGAATAACACGAGAGATAGAAAGTGAGTTTACTTGACCATTGTAATATCGCTCAAGAGTTTATAAGAATCGCTCAGAACTGTTTAAAACCATTTCTTACTATCCAGAATCATTTAGAATCAAGTAAGAACTGATAAGAATCATTTAAAACTTTTAAGGACGATCTTAGAACTCCTGCAGAATTATTTAGAACGTGTTAAGGACTATTTAAAACGGTCGAGGTTCTTTCAGGATTATTTAGAGCGTATTTTTGATATGGAGATCTATATTTATATAGAGATTATTTTTGAACTTTTATTAGAGGACTATTTACATTTTTTTACATAAAAAACGACATCAAAGGGGTTTAAATACACTCAAATAAAATACCTCTAATTGATAATATAATTTTTGCCTAAAGCTAAAGCTTTTTCTTTATTTGTTGTAAATTTTAATAGACATTTCCTCCGGTAGTACATGAAACTTTCTACGCGGTAATTCACTTACAAATTATCGACAAATTTGCCGACTACCAGAGTTATTTACACCGTAATTATACGTATTGATTGTCGGATTGGCGAAATTAAATCATCGTATTTTACGGTATTCACGTATTGTCACCGCCCGAAGATAGAAATTTTTAGTGAATTTTCGTCGTAAACCAGCTTCCAAATTGCGGCCTTCGACGTAAAATTGCTTTACAGAAAATACGATTATCTCGGCGGAATAATATCGTGCATCGAAAATAGTGCGAGACGGATATATTTAACGATTTTATGGATCTTTTTATTTTGAATCCGTACATTTTTATAACGTCTACTTGAAAAGCTAAATTAATTGAGATTTATGAGTGGGTTTTGTGTCGAAATTATTTTATTTTACAACGACGGTGTCTCATTTAATTGGGGGTAATTTAATGCTTTCGGTGCCTAAACAAAACTATTAAAATATATAGTCGAAAGATAGAGGAGGTAACAAGACATAGGAGTAACAAGTGTTAGAAAGAGAGTGTAACACTTATAGTACATTTTCTTTCTGTACTATACCTAATTTCAGTAATACTATTGCAAGTATTAGGTTTATTAATTTTCGAAAGGGCGTACAAGATTCGCTTCAAATCTCTTTCAAAACAAGCCGCCGACACCTACACTCATTTTTCGTTAGATTTTCCCGAAAAACCCTCCATCGGGGGGGCGTAGCACTTCCTCACACCTTCCGAAAACGCCGCGGACCGTCCTCTTCACAAAAAAGCACCCGCTGCAGCGACTCCTCTGTGGCTCATCCACCGGCATCTTCGGCTTGGAAGTGCCGAATTCTAATTAGACTGCACCAAATGCAGGTGCTTTGTTTACTGTAAGATTTGTCACGGATTCGTTAAAACCAAACAGTGGGCGGTGCGCCGACCAAGATGAAAGAAACCGCGTGAGAAATTTTCGAAAAACGCATCAAAACAAAGGTAATTAGCCTTTTGCAGCTTCCGAAATTGTTCTGCCTTAATGAATCTTTGTAAATTGCTAGGTGGATAAGAAAGTATTATACTCTTCACTGTATATGAATAGTGGAGATTAATGGACCATTAGAGCAGTAACCTATTAGCTTTTAATTAGGAAATTAAATGCTCAGTTAGAACAGTAACGCATTACAGAGAAATTTGTGAGATTTTATGAAATGTGATTTTTTATAGTTAAATTGAAAATACATTCATGATTCATTATAAATTGCTAGGTAGACAAGAAAATCTTGTACTCTTCATCTATAATAGAACAAAGATGTTAATTTGATGGAGAATAATGCTCGATTAAAACAGTAACCCATCAGCTTTTACACGGGAAATTCAATGCTCAGTTAAAACAGTAACCTAGCTAGCTAGAAAAAACTGTAGGTATACAATTATAGAAAAAACTTCGAATGATTTTTCTACACTTTTGCCCTTTACTATAGCACTTTAAACGGATCGTTTAATGAGTTTAAAGTGTAGGGTTTTTATAAAACTTTGATAAACGCCGACGTACGAATACCGAAAAAAAATCTTGTTAACTTGTTTACGACCCGCTCGATATCCAAACGGATCGACTTCGCATGCAAATGCAGCCTGACAATCTGTCCTTAAATAAAACTCATCTGTCTCTATGCTAAGGTGTTATTAAAAAAAATCGCAATATTAAAAACCGTAACACTTATAAATATTCATGTCCTTTTAACATCCACGCCACATTACGGTATAATTTTTAGTCGGAATCGTAAGAAAATTTACTTCCATGAAAATTAACAGAGCTTAAAGGGACAAAATCCTGGAAATTTTAACTGAATTAAAACTATTCAATCTATTACAACTAGCTGAAGGATATGTAGTAGAATATAAAAAGTGTAATGACTGGATCATGAAATTACATAAAAAAGTTGACAAATAAAACTTAA